CAAAAAACAGTGGCATGCATTACAGGCAATGTTCCCTCTAAGCTGTGGAATCCTGTGAGCAAAAATTCTACTTTGTGAGCGCCTGGCATTAAAGCTGTGAGCGAGAGATCCGGCTGCTGCATAAATCAGTTTGCGCTGGAGCCATCCTTCCTGAGCTAAGACAAAAATCTGTGAGCCAGAGGTTAAAAAACTGTGAGCTAGCTCACACAAACTCACCTTAGAGGGAACACTGATTACAGGCACTCCAGAACAATATTCTAGAAGTGGAAACAGGGAACTCTCACACATTTATTAACCCTTTCCTGTTTTTTGTGGCACTATTTTGTGTTTAATGCCCGTTCCGGGGTGTTCCGGAGGCATTTTGGCCTAGAAAGGGTTAATAAAAGAGTGAGAGTTCCGTGTTTCCACTTCTAGAATACTGTTCTGGAGTGCCTGTAATGCATGCCACTGTTTTTCGCGGCACTATTGTGTGTTTAATGGCCGTTCTGGAGGCATTTTGGCCTAGAAAGGTTTAATAAAAGAGTAAGAGGTCCATTTTTCCACTTCTAGAATATTGTTCTGGAGGGCCTGTAATGCATGCCACTTTTCCCCCAGTACTATTGTGTGTTTAATGCCCGTTCCGGCTTTTACCCTGTCCCGTTTCGGAAGCACAAGTTACTGTCACTAATTGGCAACATCCAAACTTTAACCGGAAAAGCCACCCAACAGACCCGGTTTAGATCTTATTCGTTTACTGTTACTAAAAGGAATAATCCCAACTGAAGTTGGCATCATTTCTACAAATAATGAACTACATAATTTTGTTTAGTTTGCAAAACCATATTGTTAAGTCGCTCGCTTAACAAAGCAGTCGGAGAGTGATTCAGCAAGAACACAACTTTATTCTTCAACTCGAACACAGCTCCAACACGGATCAACATCTGATAGCCAGAACAGCCTTTGCATTGCAGCTGTCCTGCTTTTAAACATTCCCGGCTAATGTAGCCACACCCACTGTACAAATACCAACCAATAAGGTTGTTCACATAAAGACCAATCACGGATGTTCCCGCTCAGGGAGCTTGCTTGAAAGTGATTGGTTAGGTGCTTCCTGGGCTAGTAACACGATTGGATGGATTTGGATCCTAGCCCAGGACCAAGTTTTACATTACACTTCAGTTAGAAGTTTCACAACATATCATGCATTCAAGGCAGCTTTGAATACACTACACATATACAAATACACACATACAGAGTGAGCCAGATCCTAAGGGTACTTATACAGAGATAGGGTAAAGGTAAAGGTTTCCCTTGCCTGAAAGCCAGTCGAATCCGACTCTAGGGATGCGGTACTCATCTCCGTTTCCAAGCCGAAGAGCCAGCGTTGTCCGAAGACGTTTCCGTGGTCATGTGGTCAGCATGACTACACACTGAGGCGCACGGAACGCTATTACCTTCCCACCAAAGCGGTACCTATTTATCTACTTGCAATGTCTTGCTTTCGAACTGCTAGGTTGGCAGGAGCTGGGGCCTGAGATGGGAGCTCAGAGTTCTATTAATTAGGTGTTCAAGAACATTGCTGTGTGCATGGACAAGAAATACCTGAGTACTATGTTTTCCTTGCAATACACTATTCCTTCTAGTAAAGTGGCTGGTCCCTGCTAACATCATAGCTGCAGCAAAACTGAGCTAACAGCCCAGGTGGAGTTTCTTTGTATTTGTTCAGTCGCACAGTCGAGTCCGACTCTCCACGACCCCATGGACCACATCATTCCAGACCCTCCTGTCTTCCGCCATCCTCTGAAGTTGGCTCAACTTCATGTGCGGTGCATCTATGACACTGTCTAACCATCTCATCCTTTGCCGTCCCCGTCGTGGTTGTCAAGGACATCGAGGTCCGAGGTCTTTCTTGCCCATCTGGTGATGTCCATGTGTAGAGTCGCCTCTTAGGTTGTTGGGAAAGGGTGTTCGCTATGACCAGTGTGTTCTCTTGACAAAACTCTGTTAACCTTTGCCCTGCTTCATTTTGCTTTCCAAGGCCAAACTTGTCTGTTATTCTGGTTACCTTTTGACTTCTTTGTATAGGGAAGTTAAAAAAAAAACACCTTTGTAAGTTAACTAAGGCTGCAATCACACACACTAAATAATCCATTTTCAGTCCACTTTCAGTCTACTTTTGAATTGGCTTTTGCCAGTTCACACAGTAAAAATCCAGTTGGAAAGTGCATTGAAAGTGATTTGAAAGTGGATTATCTCGTGTGTGTGATCACAGCCTAAATCTAAACAAACAAAAAGCTGCTTGAAACTCACTGAGAGTTCCCCAGAAGAACAGAATGTTGACGGTATAAGGATCCAATTAAATCAAATGTTGTGCACTGATGCAGTTTCCTTGCAACTCGGGGCTGCCAGAAAGAAGGTGAGCTTTGAGGGAAAATACAAATAGACCAGCAGGATCCTGGTAGCCGCCTATTGGGATGCAATTAGTGTGTAAATAGCCTATTGTTGGGAGTAGGTGTGTTTGGGGTGTGCCTTTTGACGGGATTATAAACAGGGCTTCGCCCTGCTGGAGTTGTCTTGTAGTTGCACTAAATCACTGAATGAAGCATGAGCTGATCACTACTCACGTGTTGAACCCAGTATATTTCATCAAAAGAAAAGGGTGGTGGAATTAGCCTGGCCAAGTCCCCAAGAATTTACGGACTCCTGAAGATTTCCAAACAGCTCTCCTGCTGGAAACTCCTCAGTTATACCCAGTGTGCTTCTCTCTTAATATGAGGAAAATGTGGAAAAATTATCCCCACCTTACATTTGCAATATACTGCCTAAGTCAAGCAGTTAGTTTTCCACAGATCAACAGTTAAGTCTCAGGACAAGCCGTTTTATGATATCCCAGATTTTCATGGTGTGTTTAAAATTTCATAGTGTTAGCTATTGGTAACAGAGCTTTTCCTAAATCCCATATTTCAAAGCAACGCCAGCCCCATGATTTGCGTGCTACGGTCTGACGCAGTTAGCAGCAGGAAACGGTCATCTGTGATAGAGACCCCATATGGTCCCCTCCTTCTGTTCCGTATTAAAATACAGGCTCATACTGCTGTAATAGTTAAACATTATAAGCTCAACTTTCTCCCAGAAAACTGGGACCAAAGTCAAATAACTGAAACAATCCAAACAAAAATACTGTAAAAACAATATAATCAAGACAGCCTGCAAAACATAGAAACATAAATAATATCCTCTTACATACAGTTGCAAAATGAATCATCAAATCATTCTATGCCTTCCTTATCCTGTCCCCAGGGGTCATTTAGTAGAAAAAGAGGTGCAGGAGCTCATCAGCATAACTTAGGGCACCAGGGTCAAAGGGGGCACCACAAAGTTGGGCAAACGGTGAAAAGAAAAAGGAATGAAGATTTGTAAAAAAAAAAAAAAATCGATAAAACCAGTGCAAATTGATTATGGTGCACCTGGGGGTTATCTTCTATTTTTTGTTGGCGAGCTGCATTCTGAGAGGTATTAATTTCAAGGATGTTATCAGTGATTTCGTGAAAATGAAATGTAGAAAAATGCCTTTCAGGTCATGAATATTGGAACGTTGATACATTTAACTTGTGAAATATTACAATAGATGTTGTGTTGCATTTTTGCAGAACTTTATGTAGCCCAAGCTCGGCTTCGTTTGTACAGTATATTGTGATATCCTATGAATTAATTTTTGTATCGCCACAACCTGCATTGTATATCTGGTCAGACAGGTCGACAACTAAAATGGACTGGGGATCAGTGTGGTCAGTGTTCAGGGCACCGGTGAGCTTTCATCCGCCCCTGCTTAAAGGTAAAGGTTCCCTTGCTCGAAAGCCAGTCGAGTCCGACTCTAGGGTTGCGGTGCTCATCTCCGTTTCCAAGCCGAAGAGCCAGCGCTGTCCGAAGATGTTTCCGTGGTCATGTGGCCGGCATGACTAAACACCAAGGCGCACGGAACGCTGTTCCCTTCCCACCGAAATGGTACCTATTTATCTACTTGCAATGTCTTGCTTTCGAACTGCTAGGTTGGCAGGAGCTGGAACTAGAGACAGGAGCTCACTCCGTCATGCGGCACACTCAGGTCTCGAACTGCTGATCTACTGACCTTCCACAGCCTGCAGTTCAGCTCTTAACCACTTGAGCCACCACAGCTCCCTTATTCGTTTACTGTTACTAAAATGATAATCTCAACTGAAGTTGGCATCATTAGTACAAATAATGAACTACATAATTTCGTTTCGTTTGTAAAACCGTATACAAATGCACACATACAGAGTGAGCCAGAACCTAAGGGTACTTATACAGAGATAGGGTAAAGGTTTCCCTTGCTCGAAAGCCAGCCGAGTCCGACTCTAGGGTTGCGGTGCTCATCTCTGTTTCGAAGCCGAAGAGCCAGCGCTGTCCGAAGGCGTTCCCGCGGTCATGTGGC